TGGAAGACCTTGCGAAGGACCTAGTCGCCAGTTTTGAAAGTTCTGATCTTGACATTGCGGTTGTAGTGTTGGCCGGCCTGCTGCTGGTAAACAGCGTTACGGATACTCGCCTGCTCGAATAGTTCATTGCCGGTGTCCAAGTTCTGGCACAGGTTCTAGTTGTTTATTTCCTTGTCTGTCCACTGTAGGTTGGAGGAAGGAATTGATACTTCGGTCGGGATAACTACTTTAGATTCGTATGTCAAGGAGAAGGGAGTCTTGCCCATGGATGAGTGAGCGGTAGTTCAGTAGGACCAGATGACTCCGGGTCACTCATCTGCCCATGCACCCTTTGCTTTCTTTAGTCGTTTCTTCAATGTCTGCATGATGGTGTTATTTGATCACTCGGCCTGGCCGTTAGACTGGGGGTTGCAGGGGGTAGAGAAGTTTAGCTTGATCCCCCACATGTCATAGAAATCCCTGAAGCCTAAACTTATGAATTGGGATCCGTTGTCGGTGACGATCTCTATCGGTATCCCGAACCTGCATATGATATGTTTCCAGATAAAAGCTTTAACTTCTCAGTCTCTGACTTGTACGAAAGCTTCGGCTTCGATCCATTTAGTGAAGTAATCTATCACAACCAATAGGAAGACTCATTGCCTGGGTGCGGTTGGTAGCTTTCCCACTATATCCATTCCCCACTTCATGAAAGGCCAAGGAGTTAGAATGGAATGGAGTCGCTCAGTTGGGAGGTGTGAGACATGGGCGAACCACTGACAACTGTCGCATTTCTTTACATAAGCCATCGAATCAGTTCGTATGGTTGGCCAATAGTATCCAACGGTGATCACTCGGTGTGCTAGGCTGCGTCCTCCTGCATGGTTTCCACACTCGCCTTCATGGAGCTCGGCTAGAACTCGCTTGGCTTCCTTCGGGTCTGTGCACTTGAGGTAGAGACTGGAGAATGACTTCCTAAGGAGCTGGCCTTCATATATGGTGAACCTGGCGACTGTTGCTCGTAGGCGGCGTGCTTTGTTTTTGTCAGCCGGGAGCTTGTTGTGTTCCAAGTACTTCAATATCAGGGTCATCCAACAGTCAGCCAGTTTGATGTCCACTGCTTCTTTGGGCGACTTGTTTGCTGGCTGCTCCTTCCAGTTGGCTGGCCATTGTAAAAATAATAGGGGGATGGATGACTGGGAAGAGCATTGAAGGGCCGAGCCGAGGTTAGCCAAGGCGTCGACATGACAGTTTTCCGCTCTTGGGACTTGTGAGATGAAGAATTCTTCAAATTGAGTCCGCAGCTCTTTGACCAGGTTCAAGTAGGCTGTCATCTTCGAGTTGCATGTTTGGTATGTGCGTTGTAGCTGATTGACCACGAGCTGGGAGCCGGACTTCACCTCTAGCTTCCTTACTCCAATTTCTTTGGCTAGGGAGAGTCCAGCGATGAGAGCCTCATACTCGGCTTCATTGTTCGTGCACTTGAACCTACATCATATTACTCGCTGGATGACGTCTCCCTTTGGTGTAGTCAGCACAAGCCCGAGCCCGCTTCCATTCACGTTGCTTGAGACATCCACTGAGAGAGTCCACTTGGAGGGTGACCCACTATTCATGCATAATAACTCTCGTTCTGCTTGGGTGGTTGTGCTCAGGGTGAAATCAGCGATGAAGTTTGCCAACGCTTGGGACTTGATGGCAGTACGAGACTGGTACGATATGTCAAACTCACTAAGCTCTACTGTCCACTACGTGAGTCGGCCTGATAGCTCTGGTTTGTGCAGTACCTTTTTGAGTGGGAATGAGGTCAGTACGACTATGGAGTGGCCCTAAAAATACGGCCTGAGCTTCCTAGATGCATGGATGAGGGCGAGGGCTAGTTTCTCCAGCTGACTATACTATGTTTCTACGTCAAAGAGTGACTTGCTTACATAGTAGACCAGTAGCTACTTCGCATCCTCTTCCCGGACCAACACCGCTAAAATTGCCATCTCTGACATTGCTAGATAAGTGTAAAGCTTCTCTCCGTCCACAGGCTTGGAAAGGAGCAGAGGGGAGGTCAGGTACCTTTTCAGTTGCTGCAGGGCTTCCTCGCAGGAGGGGGTCCACTCGAACTTCTTAGACTTCTTGAGGGCATGGAAGAAGAGGTGGCACTTGTCAGCAGACCTAGAGATGAAGCAGCTCAAGGCGACAACTCGTCCTGCTAGGCACTGGACATCTTTAATGCAAGCTGGAGATGGTATACCGAGGATTGCTCTGATCTGGTTGGGGTTGGCTTCTATCCCTCGTTGAGTTACCATGTAGCCCAAGAATTTACCTAATGAGACACCGAATGAGCATTTGGCTAGATTCAACTTCATGTTATACTTTCTGAGGACGGTAAACGTCTGGCTGAGATGATCAAGGTGCTATTCGTCCATCAAGGACTTGATGAGTATGTCGTCGATGTAAACTTCCATGGTGTCTCCGAGGTGCTCAGTAAACATTTTGTTGACTAGCCGCTGGTAGGTAGCCCCGACGTTCTTAAGACCGAATGGCATCACTTTATAGCAGTAGGTTCCTCTCTCTGTGATGAAAGTTGTCTTCTCTTAGTCATCCAAGTGCATCAAGATTTGGTTGTACCCTGAGAAGGAGTCCATGAAACTAAGGAGCTCGTGGCCTGTGGTCGCATCGACCATCATGTCGATATGTGGGAGCGGGAAGGAGTCTTTAGGGTATGCTTTGTTTAAGTCAGTGAAGTCAATACAAACCCTCCACTTGCCGTTCTTTTTCTTTACGACCACAATGTTTGCTAGCCATTCAGGGTAATGTACTTCTCTGATCATACCATTACTCAGTAACTTTTCAACCTCTTCATTGACGATTCAGTTGCGCTCTGGTGCAAATTTCCTTCTCCTCTGCTTTACTGGTTGGTGATCTGGATCTACTTTAAGGTGGTGGACTGATGAGAATGCAAAATGTCATATTTACCCCCCTTAATGTCTAGTCTTTTATACCTATTTGCTGCCTAAAATGTACTGATTTTTATTCTATTTTGACTTAGGAAGCAAATGGGAGCGTTAATTGCAAAACGGAACTAATTAAGTGAATTCGGACAGTTTTGACATTGTTTCGTATTTTGGACATAACTCTCTCATCTGAGCTCCGATTGAGATGATTCAAAATTCTGTAGAACGCTAAGAAATATATCTACAACTTTTATGTTTTGAGTTTGGAGAGATACTTGCTGCATCAAGGTTGTAATTGGGCTTGAAGTTGACGCATCTGCACTGCCGATGTTCTGGAACATTCTGCCTTGTAATGCACGTCCAAGGGGCAGTTTATTATTGGAAGATTTGAAGACATGTGGCACACGAGTTACAGCTGGACACATCACTTTCCTGTTTTTATTTTTAAGATTTTATTGTATTTTCAATTAATTAGAATCAGATTAGGATAATTGATTTTAGGATATTAGAATATTTTAGGAGATTGAGTTGAATTCAAACACTTGAATTAGATTTTTGAAAAGGGAGATCAGATTAGGTTTGGAGGGACCACGCCTCTCTCTTCTCTTCTCTGGAATTTTTCTTTCTTTTTGAGTTTTGGTTGATGGCCATGAGCGGCTAAAAAACTTTTGTAACTTGGTCGTCGGAAACGGAGACCTCGGAATCAACCAACTGTGAGATCTAATCTATGTTATTTTAGTGTTCAATTTTCGTGTTTGAGTATTGAATGTTATTCTGTGCATATTTTCATGATTGATGCATTTAATTACTAGGAGGCCTACTAGTGTATTATTTGTTGAAATCTACCGCTAAGTTTGATATCAAATCCGTAATTGTTTGATCCCTCCAACTTGTGAAGCAATTAGGGTTAGTAATTTGCTGCGTCAGGAATTAATAACCTTACGAAGAACATTCAACTAAATTAAATACAACCGCTTGTGTTTGTGTTGTTTAGCTTCATCGATCTCTCTAATTCTTAAGGCTGCCACTAGATTAAATCTTGAGCGCTTGTCTAGGGTTGTTTAGTGGTAAGATTAATTAAGAGCGCTTGTTTCCTAATTAATTAAAATTAAGGAGAGATAGGAAAATAGTTCCAACGGTGAATATTCAATGTATGAATTGATTATTTTTGCATCAATGATCAGTTGTGAGACTCCGATGGTGGATGTTGACGGAGACCAAGTTTCGTTATATTAATTGATTTCGAATTGAACTGTTTTTGTTTTTGGTTTTTGCTAAGAACGTTTCCTGTTTTACACAGAACCCCCCAGCCTTGTTCACATAACAGCAAATTAAGCTAGACACTCTTCGTGGGATCGACCCTGACTTACACTACTACGTGTATTTTTAGGTTTTAATTCTGGGTGCCTGCGACAGCACGCCATGGACCATTGCCTCTAGGCTGACTCCTGTCATGTCAGCGTGGGACCAAGCGAAGTAGTCTTGGTTCTGTCCGAAAAATTCTATCAGCTTCTTTCTTGTCTCAGGCCTAAGGCGGGAACCTATGCATGTCTTTCTTTCGGGGTCATCAGGATGTATCTGCACTTTATCCAACTCTTCCATAGATGGTTGTTCCGGGTTGGTTGGAGGGGTTGGATGGGACTGTAATTGCTATGAAGCGTTACCCTTGCTCTTGAAGGAGTTCTTGTAACAATCTTTGGAAGTTTTTGGGTCGCCCTTGATTTCTCGTACTCCCTATTTGGTGGGAAACTTGATCGTTTGGTGGAAAGTGGAAGGACCGCTCGTATGTCATGGATCCAAGGTCAGCCCAAGATAACGTTGTATGGTGATGTACAATCGATCACTAGAAAAACAGTTTATTTGTTTACTCTGTTGGCGTAGATAGGAAGGATGATCTCTCCGATTGTGTATTTCTGCTCAGAACTGAACCCAACCAATAGAGTCGACCGCCTGTTGATGTTGGCTTCTTCCAAACCTATAGACTTCATCACTTTAAGGAAAAGGATGTTTGTTGAGGATCCCCCATGAACCCAACCACTAGAAAAACGGTCTCTTGACCAAGATGTTGGCTATCTAGAGGGAGACGACTAGGGCATCATGATGAGGGGCAGCCAAGGTGACTGGCTCGTCATCTTCAAATTGAATTACATGATGGGAGTGTGGCCGTAGAGGCGGGTGTACATACTGGATTTCATGGTTGTTGTTGGCTCTGGCGTAGCGCTTGGCTGAGGAGTAGCTGACACCACTGATCTTTGACCCTCCTAAGATGATATTGTAGAATCCTTTTAGCGTTGGTTCCCGCGGAGGTGGAGATGTTTCTTTCGTGCTTTTCTGGCTGATGGTACTCTTCCCTTTATCTGTCAACAGATCTCGGAGATATCCCCTCTTCAATAGCACAGCGACCTCCAACTGTAGAGCAATGCAGTCCAGGGTGTTATGTCCATGGTAGTCGTGGAACTTGCACCACTTGGTTGTGTCTCTCCTTGCTTCGACATTAAGCTTTCTTGGCCATTTAACACTAGATCCCATTCCTTTCATGATTGCCACCACTTGGGTTGGTTAGACGTTGAGGTTGTATTCGGGAATTTTGTATCGGATCGGTCCTGTTGGTCTGTTGTTGGTTCTAAGTGGCTGGCAGTCATACAGTTTTCTGATTTTGTTCTGGTTATGTTGAGGGGCTTGGTAATGAGGTTCAATCGGCCTGAACTCTGGCTTCCTTTCATTCCGCCTTAGGTCGTACCTGGCATGACTTGCCCGATTCATTTCATCTTCCTCCCACCTTTTTTGAATCACTGCTCTGGCCAAAACGTCTTCCATTGTGATGCAACCGAGCTTTGTCAGTTCTTTGTATAATTCACAATCCGGGAGGAGACCCTTCTTGAAGGCGTCAACAGCTATCTTGGGGTTACAGGAAGGGATGGAAATTTTCTCTTTGTTGAATCTGCTGACGTACTCTCTCAGTGGCCTTCCCTCTTCTGATATACTCTGTACAGGTCAGCTAACAGTTTCTTGAGTTTTTTGCTGCTGGCAAACTGTTCCACGAAGGTCTCGGTGAGCTACGCGAATGAGCCGATGGAACCGTTCGGGAGATTGGTGTACCACTATAGAGTTGGACTAGATAAGCTTGAACCAAAACTTTTACACACGCAGGCTTCCCTCAGCGCTCGGGGTATCGAGACAGTGAACATTAGCTGCTTGTACGAGGCGATGTGGTCGTTTGGGTTAGTTGTGCCGTCATATGGTTTCATGTTGGGGATAGTGAATTTGTGGGGCATGTCGGCTAGCACAATTGCATCCACAAAGGGCGAATTGGCGTAGCAATGAGGCATGCTCTTCTTAGTGGGGATCGGCATTCCAGGTATGCGCCTCTACATCGGCCAGTCTCTTGGCCAACATTTATTCCATGGGAGGGGGGGGGGGGTACCACTAGGTCATCCCGTCTGACTTGGTCAGCCATTGCATTTGCACTCAACACATTTTGTTGGATCATTCCTCGTGATGTAGCCTGGTGGATCATTCTTTCGTGTATCGCTCGGTAGCTTGGATCACCGTTCATTCCTTCCGATTGGGTGACTCCCATTGTGACCGACCAGGTGTTTCGCCCCACATGAATGGTCAAAGGGGTTGTTTGATACTCGCTCAGTCCGTTGAGAGGGATGGACTCGAGCGGGATGATCTGGCTTGGTTGACCATTCAACCCATGGGGGTGAGTCGTGCCGAATGGATTTTGTGTAGGGGTGGTTGACTTAAGGTGAGGTGGGATGGCAAGGATGGGCGATTCTTGCTGGAGTGGGCTTTCGGTCACTTGGACGCCTTGTCCTTGTGATTAAAGTGGTCCGACGGAATAGGGCTCCGTTGGCAGATATATTTCTTCATGAGTCAGGGCCGAATCGTCGAGTACCGATGAACATTGTTGAAGCGACCTTTTGTTTGAGGCTACGGGTTTGTGCTCTGGGGTTTGGAGAGGTTGCATAGATGGAACTGAGGCGTGAAACCGATTGGGTGGTACCTGGCAAGGCAGAAGCTCTAGGTTATAAAACTGACTTACCTTCTCTTTTAGAAACTGGTTTTTGACCCTGATGGAGGCGTTTTCGGTTCGGATAGAGGTGTTCTCAACTTCCAGTGCGGCTAATTTGTCTGAGTTCTATTGCATGAGGGCAGTCAGAGCCTCCAGTTTGGCCTCGAGGCCAAGGTTAGCGTTGTCAGAGTTGTCAGCCATGGAAAGTTCCTTTACGTAGCAGGGTTCGTTGAGCCGAATGATCGCTAGAGGCCCCACGGTGGGCGCCAAACTGTAGATGTAAAAATCTACTTGTACGGAAAGAGGGATTGATCCCATGAGGTTGAGGCCACTAGCGATCCACTGTACCTGCACACGTAGAGAAACAAACGAGAAGTGACGGAAAACACCAGGGTGGTGTTTGCCGTAGGCACTCCGACACTCAAGTCAGTAAGGCTGAAAGGCTGATTTAGTGAGGGCTAGGGAGTAGAGAGGTTACCAGAAGTCTAGTCGGGGACTGTGACTACGACAGTGATGTGAAGTTCTCAAGCTGGAACTTCGGGGTTTGTAGGTGTAGTGTTATCTGCCTTGTGAGAGGGTTGGCCTCTGTTTAAATAGTGACTGTCTAGTCTCCCAATCCTGATGGGATTGGGAGTTCTCATAGCAATCCGTTTCCTCTAAGGATATATCCTTTGATCCCCTTATCCTGGCGTGAAAGGGAGTCCAAGTATGACTCTGACACGGACCTTGGAGAAGTTGGGGTGGTAGTGGACTACTTTACCAGTGTTTGAATATGAATGTGGTCCGTAGGTGGCCGTAGGCTCTGAATTCGTTCATAGATCCAGGGAGTGTATTTGGGCATGGGAGGCCTGGGTCCAGATGGTTTGGGCCGACTGTGCTTCGTACCGCATGTGCCACATCTGGGGAATCCTAGCTCGGGCTGCATCGAGACTAGGCCTAGGTTTTCCTCTGTGTCAGAAGTGTCTTCCTATTTGGGCCGAGGACAATTTTTAGCCCTAACAACTTGTATGGTTTGGGAACCTTTAGCTGAGGCCATAGCTAATTTGGTTTCTACCATCGCTACAAGAAGTGAAGGATACAGTGAATAGGGAGGGATCCTTTGAAATTGAGATGCTTGAGACATTTCCAATCGAGATTGGAGACAAACAAATTTGGAGTAATGGAGAAAAACTTGCTGAAGACATTAGATCTTTCACAGAATCCCTAGTTTCACCCCACTTCGGTGAGAAAATAGTTGATCAACTGTATGCTAAGCTCACTGATATAATTATTAAGGATTTGGCTACACGTATAGAACCAGACAAGGTCACAAACTTTGTTGTTGTGTTGAGGCGAATGTAAACCTAAACTTTTATCGTCATCCATCCGTAATAAAATAACCTAAATCGCAAGGGTAAGAGATGAAGTCGTCTCTTCATGTATATTTTAAGAATACTTCTTGTTGCTTTTACGATCAAGACAGAAGTATTATTTTTGTTTCAAATTTTAAAAATTAATTTCAAAGTTGAACAAAGTTAGTGGATTGAAAAGTCAAGCTATCAGACCATATAACTTGGTTTCAGATTAATGAATTGATGATTTAAATATAATTCAAAGAGTAATATTACACATACAAATTGATGTGAAAACCCTATATGTTTGACATACCATTTACTCTAATCACTAATCACATTCAACTTTTAAACACATCAATTTGTATGGATGAGTTTGCATGTATAGTATTATTTTAATTCAAAATATCATATTTCATTATTCATACTGTAATTATCAATTAATGTCATCATATCATTTAAGAATGCAATATATAGACAAGACAACATATCCATTCTAAGTCAAAAGGGCGTATCTATAACGTTATATTATTTGTCGTTAACTAATTTGAAAATTTGGAAAACGAAGTTAATTTGTTGAAAACTTTGTCAAGCAATCTGAAGTCTACAACTGGAACTGTGTAAGTCAACTTCTTGTTAAACTTTCCACAAGCCCATGGTCCCATGAAAGTATATTGGAAATTTAAGCCATAGCTTCTTTACTCCTATATATATATGCTGGCAATACCATCTCTATACTATATTAGAAACAAAAATGGTAAGCATTATTGGTATCTCTCGTTCACTTTTTTGTTGCTTCGTCCTGATTATGGTCCTCCTCTTTAATCCACAGGCCACTTTTGCTGGTAGCACTCATAGCAGTTAATATTCTCTCTCTCTCTCTCTCTCTCTCTCTCTCTCTACGTATACATGTTTTTGTTTTGTATAATATATATATGGGGAAGAATCAGCAGCCTCATTTTTTATTTTTTACATAAATAATGACACTAGTTTTAGGCCATTAGATCTAGCACTTTGGGTGATTGAGATTCTATGTAACTAGCACATTTAATGCACTTTTAAAACAACATAATTTAGATTCAATTTCAACCCTTCAAATACTTTAATCTAACAGTTTAATAGTTGTGTCAAAACTTATGTAAAAGAAATGAGCCTCTTTAATATCTCTTTGGGGTGTATAAAATTAACTAGTTAGGAGCAAATAAAGATAAACTTCGAATGTAAGAGGTTTTGTTGATATTTTTGAAGGGTTTATTTATAAGTTTCACCATTTCTATTTTTGATATTTTTTTTTTAATGTATTTTCACAGGTAATTTAAATGGGAGGAGACTTTTTGGTTTGGAAAGGAAACTAGTGACTGCCATCAAACCAACAAAAGGCAATCCCCATCATGGCGGTCCATCAGGAGATTTTAGATAGTCCGAATGTTCCCTCAAGAAGATATATCATATGAGCGCAAAACCACAAGTTAATGTTGTAAAGATATGATATTTATCTTTGTTAGTTACCGACAGTTTGAGAATGACTTTGTTAAAAGTACTCAATAAAAGGATCAACATTCCTTGTATTGTTTTAGTTACTATGATACATAATCAATATTAAAAATCTGGTATATTTCTTTCGTAAATCATTTGTTATAAAATTGATCTAACATATGTCTTTAGACTCTTGATTTAGATGTGTTGGTGGCTTTTTGTTTAAGAACTAACTACCTAATTCCTGGTAAAAACATTCAAGGAATAATAGTTATTATTGTTCTTCTAGATTCCTTTGAAATATTAAATTAATTAATCAATAACAACAAAACTAGAAAAGAAGAAAGCCAGAAATAGAAAACTAAATCATGATTGTTGGGTACAAATTATTAAGGCCCACAAGCCAAATGATTGCAAACTCATCAAGCAAGGCCAATGGGTCAGATAATTGATATGAGATTTGAGAAAAAGAGGTATTATTTGAGTCTTACTTAATATCTTTAAAAGCCTCTTAATTAATTTTTAAAAATTAAAAATATACATTAAAGTGAAAATTACTATAAAAAAAAGCGTAAATAGGCCTTAAAAAATTTGACATGACCTAATAAAATGATATGAACTTATTCGTTAAAAGTGGCTTTGAGTGTATCTTTATTGGTCTGAGTTATTAACGGGTCGATCCATTAGTAACCCGTTTCATAACGAGCCATGTT